GGCTCTTTTGCGTCATGCGGGTCGCCCCCACGTCCGTTCCGGTGCCCGACTCAATCTGCGGCGACTCCAGATTTCTCGGTGCTATCCGACTGTCCGAGCTTGCCCCTACGGATCGGTTTGTGCACTTATGGGTGACACCAGAGATACGCTGAAAAGGGGGAGGAGGGAGGAAACGAGTAAATTCGAGGAAGGCAAGGGGGAATGGAATACCGAAAGAATTAAGAGGACAACGGCTACAGGAGGACCGCGGAACACGATGAGGACGAAGACGGGATGGGAGAGGAGGAGGGAAGGAGGTGTGGAGCAGGAGGAGGGGCGGCAAACACAAGCATGATAAGAGGGAGGACCCACGAGGAGGGGATAACCGTGGCACTAACCTTGACACGTGCATTATGTTGCTTCCAACTTCGAGATCGGATGGCGCGGCTGGTGGCCGGCCTGGGAATGAATTCTTGCAAGTTTGTGTTCCAGTGCGTCCAAGGCTTCAATGTACCACATGTTTGTTCTATCCTCGTAGCCGCCGTGGCTGAATTTGAATCAGTGGTCTTGGAGGATTCCACGTGTTTCTTCTCCGCATTTTGCTCTCGACCACTCGAGCAGGAACGATGGACTGTGAGTTTGAATCCTTTGGCGAAGTTGGCTCTTCTATTTCTGCACGGACATCAATGTCTAGGAGGACGTCGCAGGAGATAATCGGGAAAGAGATCTCGTGCCACCTCTGCGAGTCCACGGAGCCGTGCTACAAGGTAGCCTGGGGCGTGATGTTCGGCCAGGCGTGCTTCGCCAAAGTTCGTGCCAACCACCGCCGCCTGCAGCAGATGCCCCACGGGAAGCAGGACGTCGTGGACGACAAAAAGCAGATGATCGAGGATCCTGGCACCTGGCGCAGGCAAGAGTTCTTCAGATCTGACGAGCACAGGGCGCAACAGAAGGCGCTGGCCCGCGTCACCGCGAACTTCACCGAGCAGACGAAGATCCACCAGACCGTGGACGTGCAGGACGACGTCGGCGTGACAAAGAGGAAGTACAAGCAGCTCAGGACACGAGGGTCTCAACATGCACAGGGCCACACATGCATCCACCCCATGCCGTTCCAATACGTCCCGACTCCACTTGTGGAATGACATGGGTGTTGATGCATATGGGGCACGTGCATGTTAAGACACTCGTGGAGGAGGGAGGAGTCTGACAACGATCTTGACTCAGCTGAGCTCTCGGATGACTTCGACGAGCTGCACGATCGCCAAGTGGTCGAGGACGCTCACGACATGACGGACACCTGCAACCGCAAGCTGGTCTGGGTGAAATATTGCCCCCGTCACCGCCGACTCTCGGGTCACCAGACTTTGGAAGGGGCCAGGCGCGGTGGCGGTGGCGACGTCGGCGGTGGTCTGTCTTCGTCCTGTGGCACAGAGCGCACTCGTGGGCGGACGGAGCCTGCGGGCGACGATGTGCATGACCGCGACCCGCCTGGCAAGAAGCTCAAGGGCAGCAAGAGTGGTGCTGCTGGTGCTGCGCTTCCAGACGACGGCGAGGGGAAGACCGAGGGCGCCAAGTTCCTCGAGCAGCGCCAGTCCCTCGTCCAGACCTTGACGGCCATGGCAGCTCAGCTCGGGAGCTCCAAGGTGGGGAGGATCCAATCGCACCTCCATCTGGAGACATTCCTCAAACTCCTCCTCCACCTCCTCCCCTTCCCTCTCGCCCACTCCGCCTCCACCTCCTGGCCCTCCCGAGGCCCACTCCGCCTCCACCTCCTAGCCCTCCTCCTACTCCTCCTTGCGCTCCTCGCGGTTGGATCCACCCCGAAGGGGGTGAAGTCCAGCGTGCAGGGGATGGTCATCGAGATCCAGAAGAAGAACATCGACGGCGACCTGCTCCCTTTGCAGCCCGCGGCCTTGGAGGGGGACATCAGCACGGCCCTCGATGATATCAAGAAGCAGCTGGACAACGCCAAAAAGGTCAAGCCTCACGAGATCAGTGGGTGCATGGACAGCGTGGCGGCGCTGCAGGCACAGCTGAAAGACCTCACCAAGAGGAGGGACGAGCTCAGGTCGGCCGTGAACTTCTGCGTGAAGGAGGTCCGCGATAAGGAGCGCGCGGACGGTCATAAGGTTTACTGGGCCAAGTACTCCATCGAGAAGCGCCTGATCAACGGTGGCTTCGGCAAGCTGCACGGCAAGAAGTTGAGCCAGGTGATCTACGCGCTGCAGGGCGCCGAGGGTGACGCCGTCGCCCAATACCCTGGGATTGAGGACGACGGCCGCCAGACCTTCATGTCGTTGGAGATCGGGAAGCCGCAGGGGGAAGTCGACTTGGAGAAGTTCGGGTTTTGGCCCACTGGGCACGAGACCATCGCAGAGCTCGCCAAGATCTACGGCGACAGCCAGGTGGTCAAAGACAAGATTGCAGCGATGCAGGCTGCGCTGACCAGCAATCCATCGTGGGCAGGGGCCGTCGTGAACATCGAGGGGCTGACTGACGCCGAGGAGCTCAAACGCATCTTCGGCCAGGTCGGCACAGGAGACGGGTGCGAGCCCTGGCTGCTCTCAGGCCGCATGGGCTGCTGCCGTCATGGGCCCCCCGCCTTCGCGCTGCCGGGCGTCGCGTCCATGGTCTATACAACAGAGAAGCCGGTTCATTTCCAGTTGTCCGAGGTTGGCCCCATCCTCGAGAAAGGCTTCTGCATCAAGGAGTATGCGAAGTACTTGGAGTCAAGTGATGGCCAGAGTTTCCTCGATGCGAATGCGTGGGCGGTTCGCCTGCAGCCCTTCTCGTTCTTCTACATGCCTGACGGTTTCATTGTGCTGTGGGTGTACTACGCAGATGATAGGAAGGACTCCATGCCAGATGGCGGCGCCGAGCCCAAACCGACAGGCAAGAAGGCCAAAGCAAAAGTCAAGGCTTCCGACAAAGCCGCCGACGCTGCCTTTCTCGTCTCGGTGCCTGTGTTCACGGACGCGTCCAAGCAGCTCCAGCCAAAGGTTCGCAAGGCCATTCACTCGTACAACATGGAGGTGATCAAGAGCAAGGGCAAGGATCCCAAGTGGGAGAACCGCGGCATGAAGCTGGACGAGTACTTCAAAGATGCATCGTGAGATTGAGTAAAAAAATGGTTGAGAGATCCCGACTGCTGCCGCTGCCACCCTGGCCGCCAGACCCGCCATTTTTGTGTTGAACGATGCCCCTGGATGTGTGTTTGCTGTGCGACGGCATGGCAGAGTAAGAGTCCCGTGGCAGGTTGATCGTACTGTGCAAGTTGCTGCTCAGACGTGATGGAAACCAGCTGGTTACTTCTGAACGTTGATTTCGGATCGACTAAAAATCGAGTTTCAGGCCGCCTGAGAAATGAGTTGTGGTCCGAACCAATTGCGAGTCACGGTGGCACGAAGCTTATCGAACACATTCCCAAATAAACGACACACTTGAATACACGAATGTCGGAATAACAGTTAAATAAACTTAGGCACACAAGCACCAACACACTAACAGTTCCAAACACATACACACTTAAATGCACGTAGTTAGAAACAAACAAAACGGTACAGGAGGATGAGGAGTAGGAACAAACCAAAAAGGATGACCACTGACCACGGAGAGAAACCGCGAGAGGATTAAAACAAGGGGTAGGACGAGGTCCAGGACAACAACAACGATGAGGAGGGCTACAAGGAGGCAGGAAAAGGAAAACTAGGAATAGGAATAGGAAAACTACGAAGTAGGAGGAACGAGAAGAGGAGGAGGGCGCCTCCCCTGCCGCCCCCGCCGCCCCTGGCGGGCTTCGTGGTCGGCGGAGGCGCGCTGGCCCCGCTGGCCGCCGCCGCCGCCGCCGCCGTCGGAATCGTCATCGTCGCGGTGTCGTCCGCACTTCTTCCCGCTCTCTGCTCTCTCCTCCTGCCCCCCTGCCCCTCCTCCTCCCTTCTCCCTTGTCCTACCGCTCCTGCTCCTCAACATCCTCCTCCGTCTCCTTTCCTCTTCCCTCCTCCCCCTCATCTCTCTCTCTCTCTCTCTCTCTCTCTCTCTCCGCCTTCTTCCACTCGCGTTGCTGTGGTATGTTTCTGCTGCCGTACCTTCGTCTATGGACCCCGTTCCACTTCCCGAGTCCCCTGTCCTCCCGTTGCTCCCCCCTCCGCCTTCTCGTCCTGCTCCGTTTCCTCCTCTTCGTCCTATCCCTCCTCGTCCTCGCTTCTTGTCGGGGTGATCGTCGTCGGCATCGTCGCCCCCCTTCCTGCATAATAGAACGGGTGTGGGGCTGTAGTTTCACAGCGTAGGGATTGGAGGGCAGGCGGACCGCGCGGGATGATGATGACGACAGCCCCCCGACGCGACACACAGAAAACCGAGAGCCACAATTTGAAAACGAACCGCCAGTGCATGATATACACGTGTAACCGCTTGCACGACCGATGTTCAACGATGCACAACGCTTGCGTTTAAACCGAAGGACGCAAAACCGAACACACAAGCAAAGCGTGCATATTTGCTTCGGATTGCAACGGAACTTGCAGAAAAATCAGCGCTTGCGAACAAATCCTTAGAAAAATAAGTTCTTGCGAAAAAATCCTTAGAAACATCAGCTCTTGCGGCCCCTTTCCTTATCCACGCCTTGAATTGTAGCCACTTCCTGGTCTTTCGGCACCTAACCACTATCTTGTGGGCCTCTTGGGCTGTCTTTGGGGCTTCTTGGGCCGTGTGGGCGGTTTCGTGGGCCCCGCAGAACGCCCGGGGCGGCCATGTCAACCGAAGGCGCCACCCCGCCCCGGCCCCCGGGCCTACTCCGATACATATATATATATATATATGTACAAATGTATGTATGTACGTACGCATGTGTATATGTATGTAAGTATGCATCTATGTACGTATGTATGTATGTATGTGTGTATGTATGGTTGTCTGTATTTTTATGTTTATGTATGTATATGCATGTATAAATATACAAATCGATGCGTATATTTATCCATGCATACGCGTACATAGCCCGCCCCCCCCCCTTTCCGAAAGCCAGCCCAAAACGAACAACGCGAAAACGGAAGGAGTGCAGGTCGGGCTGAAGGGCGACAGCCCGGCCAAAGAGGGCCCTCCATGTTTTCAACCAACCTCGCGCGGGAAGGAGCCGGGCGCCCGGGGCCCGCAGACGGCCTCGAGGCGACAGCGCGGGCGGGCGAGGCGGCGACGGCGCGCGCAGAATCCCAAACGCCCAAGCGGGAAGGGACTGGCCAAATGGCCGACCAAATTAAATACTGAGCAGGCAAACGAACGCAGATCTCTTGCACATCAGAGCGAGGGCGTCACAGCATCGAGCGATCAACGAGGCGCACAACTTCATTGCAAAGGCGACGCGGGTAGGCGGCAGCCTGGGCAGCAAGGTGGACTCCATCGCGATGGCCAGTGAGGATGGCGCGGGGCCGCTGGGTTCTGGAGCAGAAGCCGCGACGGCCGCTGCAGCATCTGCTCAAAAACTTGAGGTCGACCGCGCTCCAGGCAGCAACAGAAGTTCGCTTTCTCCGCGCCGCCCCCAACTGGCAGCAATCGAAAGTGGCGAACTGAGCCGTAGAATGTTGAAGTAGCCGCCGCATTCGCCGAACATGGCAAAGCAGAGACCCCGCGGGGTTCTCAATGGACACAGGGATGCGACGCTCGACGCGCTGTTCAATGGTGTCACAGCTAAGGTTGAAAGACGTGCTGCCAACGCGCAAGTTGGCCGCTGCATGCGGGGGCAGCCCCTGGCGGCCCGTCGGGCGGGCGCGCGTCCTGAGGGGGGCCCTCGGCGCCTGCGCCCATGTCGTGCAGGGCGCCCCTAGCCAGACGGCGCTCGCGACGCGGGCGGCCAGCTGCCCCTTGAGGGCGAGCAGGAAGGCGGTGACAGATGGTCTTCAGTGGCGCCATGGCGGATGTCGAGATCCATGCCCGCCGGCACCCGCCGCTGCGCGGCCTCGGTCAGACGACCCGAGCTGGCGAAGAGCTCCAGCACCGCGCGCCGCAGCCGCCTGCCGCGGACAGCTCCGCCCGCGCTGCGTCTCGCCAGCCGCGAATGGCGCGCCTGCCAGAGCGGCGCCGCCAGTCGCCGGCGGGGCGCAGGCCGCCTCGGCACCTTCCTGCCCGCCATCGGCGGCGCGAGGCCCAGCGCGCAGAGCGCCGGAGCTGGCGCCCGCGCGAGATGGCCCGCTCTGTCGATGCCGCGCTCGAGGAGCGCCACCAGGTTCGCCTCGACACGCGCCCCGAAGGTGAAGATCGTGGCATTCACTCTGGCTATCTCGCCGAGAAGGGCGCTCTCCTTGCCGCGGCGCCGCGTCGACGATGGGGCGGTCCACCTCCCGCGGCGCTGCGCCTCGACTGGGTCGCGGCGGCCAGCGAGCAGGTCGTCGGGCGGCCCGCCGCGCCGCAGGGGGTGAAGGCGGGGTCGCAGCGCCCCGAGCCTCAGGGGCTAGGGCGCGGCAGGTGGCCCCGAAGCGAAGGGTGTTGCCCTCCGGGCAGAAGGCCCGCAGCGACGCGCTCGGCGCTGCTGCCTGGCGAAAAGGCAGCCGAGAATGGCCGCGGCTCGGACCGGCCCGACATCGCGCCGTCGCCGCACTGGCCAGTCTTCCCTGCAACGCCTCTCTCGTTGGGGTGCAGCAGAGGCCCCAGCTCGACTGGCTCGCGCCCGCTGCTGGCATTGGTGGCGCCAGACTCTCGCGCGTCAAGCTCTGGGCCTCGGCGGGCCTCGAGCAGGCCGCAAACGCGATCGTGGTCCAGCGCGCCATGCCGAGGCTGATGAGCCACCCCGCGACTGCGCGCGCCGCTGCCCACGGCAGGGGCAGCCGCGTCTCACCTGGCGCCCGCCTCTTCCAGGAAGCGGGCGCCCGACCCCCGGGGGCGGAGCGACGCGATCTTCTTGAACATCGAGGGGTCGCTTGCGCGATCGCTACCACTGTCTTCGATCCGATGTTGCGCGCTGTCCCCATCTGGAAATGATCAGAAATACTGTGCCAGAACGACGTCGAGCTCCTCGAGTGCGCTCCAGCCCAGGCGGCGCTGACTGCGCCAGTCGACGAAAGTCTGCAGCAGCAGGCGATAGCTGCGCTTGGTGTTCGCGAGGATGGCCAGAGTCACAAGCAGCGCGAGTCCTGCCAGGATGGGCCTCTCCGCCGCCGCCTGCCGCGCGAGCCTCCGCCTCTGGGCCGCCGCCGCCTCGGCGCCTGGCGCGCGCGAGCCCCGCTCCGCGGCGGCGCCGTTGGGGCCCGCTATGCCTGTCGCCAAATCGACGTCCAGCAAGCTTTGGGCACGGCCCCAGCAGCTCGCGCTGCCCGCTGAGACGGCCACGTCGGCCGCGGCTGACAGCGTCGGATGGGGCTCCGTTCGGAAGCCATCCATCGCGCGCGGGGCCTCGAGCCCGACGCAATCGACAACGCGCGAGCCCGACCAAGACATTGCCGTAGGCGCCGACCCTGGGCTCCAAATTTCACAACGGCGAGGGCCCAGGGCAACTTATCGATCAGCACCGAGGGACGACGCCCAGCACTGCCGCGGCCCCGAAGAAGGCGACGATAGGCCAGGCAAAGGGCCTCTCCCTCCAAGAGCAAGATGTTGGCTCCACCGGAGACGTTGACGGCCGCTGTTGGCTTCCAACCAGAGCTGTCCGCAATGGCCGAGGGCACCTCGTCGAACCTCAGGTTGGAGCCATTCGGGTCCAGGTGGGCCCCCTTGGGCTCC